CACACACACACACACACACACACACACACACACACACACACACACACGTCCCCATGACCAAAGGGGTGGCACAATGTAGGGTCAGGGCAATGGAAGGGAAGGAAAAGGCTCTAAAAACAAGGCGGGACATGGGATGCTGGGGCACCGATATGAGATGTCAGCATTCTGAGAGACAGGGAGGGAGAAACCCAAAGCTGGTGCTGGGCCTTGCCGAGGGTAGTACTTGGGATGAAGTTTATTCCCTCCTGCTTGGGTATCTCTTACTGGATACCCCCAGGGCAAGAGTGAGGCCTGGAGTTACAGCATCTCCCTCCTCTGCCTGCGCCAGTGCCCACCACCAGGAGTGCACCCTGGGCTCTCCTACACCAAAACCCAACATGTCCACCGCCAGGCCCTCCTCCACTCCAGAGCTCCAAAGCCAACAGCTGTAGAGCGAAGATTTCCTGGCCTGTAACTGTATCTCTGGGCTGGACAAGGGCCTGCCTGGCTGCCCTACCCTCGGGTCTTCCTGCCATCTCAGGGTGGGGATGAGGGAGGCGGCTGCCGCTCAGTCTGTGATGAGGGAAGCGTCGCCTGAATACACAGAACAAGCCCAGCCCAAGGGGAGGGCTGCTTTCACCCCACCCCAGGCCTTCACCCTGGCCCGATGCCCTCAGAACAGCCTAGAAAAACAATGGTGGCCGCATCCAACTCATCCAGCAGGAACCTCTCAGAAAGAGAGGCCCCATTGTCCAAACCTGAACACCAACATCACCGTGGCCCAGCATCTCATCCTCTCCTCCCTGGCCTCTCAGAGCTGGTGCCAAGAACGAGAAAGTCCATGTTCCTTCCTGCTGCTGCTAGGCCCTCCCCACCGACCTGGGTCCCCCAGCGCCTTAAGGAGGGGGTGGCAGCTTTAAGTCCAGCAGGGTGTAGGCGAAGATGTTCCAGAAGACAGCGAACAGCACAAAGACCGTGTACATGGCCACAAAGATCCACCACAGCGATTGGTCCTGCAGCCTCTGCTCGTAGTTCCTCAAGACCACCACGCCCAAGGTGATGCCCACAGCCACGCCGCCCAAGTGCGCCACAAAGCTGGGGTGAGGGCACGGCGGGTAGGCCGATGGGTGAAACCGGAGCCACACGGCCCGCCCGAACTCCATGCTCACTGCAAGGGGAGGAAGCACAGAGAAGTCACAGGAAGGCCGCTGGGCAGGGGCGGAGGGAGAGGCCTTGCACACCATCCGTCCACCCGGCCACCCGTTCACCCGTCCACCGTGAGTTCACTCACTGCCCACTAGGCTGAGCACTGTTTGTTCTCTGCCCTGCAGATAGAGCAGTGAAAGACAGACGAACCCCTGTTCTCCCAGGGCTTACAGATCTGGCAATCGACCAGCATCAATTACATACATCAGATAATTCCAGTAAGAAAAATTATAGGGGGTAAAAAAAAAAAAATTAGGTAATTTTAAATCAACGCTGGGTGTAAGGAGGGGGGATTCGTTAGTTTGGGGAATCAGGCAAGATCTCCCTAGAGATATGAAATGTGCACAGCAACGTGACTATCAAGAGAAGACCCTAAGAAGAGCAGTCCAGGAAGAAGGGGGAGCTTGTGCAGAAACCCAAAGAGCCTTGCGGCCCCACGTTCATGAGTCCGGGAGGCTCAGTTTCCCCATCTGCAGAGTTCTAGGCTGGAACATTAACGATAACTTTAATATGTGCTAGCACGTTACAGTTTAGAAAGTGTTTTCATGTGCTATTTCAAAACCCTTAGAAACCTTTCCCTCAGAACTTTTGTGATTGGAAGGAAGGAATAGAGGGAGAAAAGGGCAAAGACAGAATGGGGGTACACGGCCCCAACACAGGGCTGGAGTCTCTCTCCTAACAGACGCTCAAATGCCCCCATCCCATCCTCCAGTTGACTCTTCTTGCCTGAGCTTGTTGGGTCGGCCAGTCCCATGGGATGCACTCTCGCCAAAGGACAGGTGCTGGGAAACGGCCATTTCACGGCCCACCACCAAAGAGCGCTAAGGGCAGGCATTCTTATCCCCACTTTGCAGATGATGAAACCAAGGCAAATTCGACGAGTGAAAGAAAGCCCTTTCCGGGGAATTCTGTACTTGTTCAGTGACCATTTAGTTAACCAGCGTGCCTCTCTCCACCGTCGCCACTGCGGGGGCACCCAGGACCTCCAGGGATGTTCATTCCCCGGGGATCGCCTAATCGGCCGGCCTGGCCCTGCAAGTCCAAGGATGGCCAATAGATGGCAGGAGAGGAGCAGCCAGGGACCGACACTGAGGCCTCCCCAAGCCCTCCCCAGGCCCTGAGGCACCCTTCTGCCTTTGCTTAGCAGGCCCTGGGTGCCACAAAGGAGGTCTGAAAGACATTGGTTCCCCCCCTCCGCTCCAAAACAGCATTCTATTTTTTATGAGTTGGATTTTTTTAAACATCAAGACGCAGGCTTCTCCTCCCTTCCCTGCACACAAACTCAGCGTCTGAGCAGGCAGGGAAGCTATGCTCACCCCGCCCCCACTCACTGCACCCCACTGCCCCCCACTGCCCTGGCTCAAAGAGTCTGTGGGCTTTTGAGCAAGGGATGTGGAAGTGGATGGAAGTGCAGTCCGCATAGGCCCATTCTCCCGCCCCTGTCTGTTATGGCTCATCCTCCTCTTCCCCAGGTCACAGGTGGATCCAGGCAGACAGCCCAGGTGCTCCCTCCCAGCCTGGCTAAAGTGTGGGCATTAGCAATGGCACAGGCCAGCTCTGCATTCTGCCTCTATCACCTCCAGCTGGGTGGCCGTGGGCAAGGAACATGAGCTCCAGTGTCTACCTGCACATCTAGCCTTATAGAAAATACCCTCTTCTACAACCGTGTCCTGAAGACTGAATGAGAGACCGTGTGTCCCCCGTCTGTCTGCCTGCCTGCATCGCGTCTTACCTCTTTCCACCTCAGAATGAGCCTCTTATGAAGCCTCTGGTCTCACGAATAGTCTCGTGAAGTCAAATCTGCCAGGAACTCTCCTGTTTACAGCCCTCCAGCGGCCTCCCAGTGCATCCAGGATGAAGTCCAACCTTTCTCTTTGCCTTTAAGGCCCTCGTGACCCGACTCCTATTATCTCTGATCACTAACACCCGCAGTCCCAAAGCTCACTGTCAGTCTTGTCAACTGCCTTGACGGCCGTGACCCTTCCCCCACACCTGTGTCTACGTTCATGCTGCATCTCTGCCCGAAACGTCCTCTTTTACCCTGTCTCCGTGGTGAACGTCTAGCTGTCTTCGACACTCAAAATGACCTCTGCAGGCAGAACTGACTTCTCCCGACTAGGGACCCACCAGACTCTGTACACAGGGGTTCGTGGATTAGTTACAGTCTGTTCACCTGCTAAACTGCAAGTGTTTGTGTGTGTGTGTGTGTGTGTGTGTGTGTGTACACATGCGCACGTGCGTGTGTATACGTGAGTTATCCTGGGGAAAGAGTCTCTAGTTCCAATAGGAGACCTCAAAGGATCGACTCCATGACCCAAAAGGTTATGAAGAAGCTATTTTTCTTGAGACAAACCATAAGAGACTCTTAAGTCTAGGAAACAAAATGAGGGTTGCTGGAGGGGGGGGGGGGGCGGGATGGGGTAACAGGGTGATGGACATTAAGGAGAGCGCTTGGGTGTCAAATACGACTGATGAATCACTGACCTCTACCTCTGAAACCAGTAATATACTGTATGTTAAATAATTGAATTTAAATAAAATGTTTTAAAAAGCAGTTATTTTTCTTGATCTGGGTGCTGGTCACTGAGCTGGACACTCATCCTGTACTTTTCTGGGTGCATACTATACATCAATAAAAAGTTTAAGAAAGGTTAAGCGGCAGCAGAGTGGGCCAGACTTCTCTCATAACATCCCTACTTTGTCACACTCTGATGACGTTTCCCTTTTTTTCTTGACCACAAAGGCCTCCAGGGCAGGGACTGCGCCATCTTTATGTCCTCCAGGCCTGGGGCAGGGCTCCATCCCACCCAGCCTGCCCTGCCAACACTTACTACAGATCAAGGCCACAGCCATCCGCAGCAGCTTGAATTGACACTTCATGCCTGACCAGTTCTGGGGGAAAAGGAGAAAGTGCCATTAGTTCCAGATCTGACCACTCTTCTACGGATGTATCTCACTTCAGAAAACCTAACATTGGGGCACCTGGGTGGCTCAGTCTGACTCTTGGCTTCGGGGCTCAGGTCATGACCTCAATGGTCTTGAGATCAAGCCCCTTATTGGGGCTCTCGGCCCAGCAGGGAGTCTGATTAAAGATTCTCTCCCTCTGTCCCTCCCTCGGCTGGTGCTTGCGCGCTCGCTCTCTCTCTCTCTCTCTCTCTCTAATAAATAAATAAATCTTAAAAAATTAAGTCTTGAATGAGGCAGTTGTGAGCAGATCACACCAGCATGAGATTTCAAACAATGGTGAATTTATTACTGTCATAAAAGCGCTTAAGCTGGAGTAAAGCAGGAAGAGAATCCAGATCTAGGGAGATGAGGGCCCTGTCCCCTCAACTTGGGCAGACAACCCCTGAGAACTGCAGTGATTGCTGGGTCCCACGTTTGCAGAAGGGATGCAGGGCAGCAAACCAAGCAAAGTCAAAGCAGAACCGTCAGGATGATAAAAGAAATCAAAATCCGGCCTATGAGAAATGGATGGAGAGAAGACCTGGGGGTCAAGTTCACTGTTGTCAAGTATCAAGTGAGTCACAGTAAGGCAGGGCACATTCAGTGTAACCTGTAATCGGAAGACTCCATAAGACTCCATAGATTAAAACTTCAGGGACTTTTTTAAGCTCTGGATGTTTCCATTTCTAATAAGTCGATGGAACATTCCATCTTGGGGGATCGTGAGTTTCCCATCACTGAGAGGTTCAAACAGGGGCTTGACATCCTTTGGAGGGGATGCTCTACAGAATCAGGCATTGGAAAAGGGGGACTTCAAACAAATCCCTCTTTCCCCTGAGAATCTCAGAACACTCTGAACCTCCAAAGCAGATAAATAGAGTACAATTATTCACCTTACAAAAGGATTTTTCACTTTACAAAAGACTTCGCCACGGGATTCCTTTGAGGGGCTCTCCCACAGCGCATTCAAAGTACCATCCCATTTATACAGATACACGCACACACAGAAACGAGTCTGGAATCTTCCTGGAATACATCAGCCCTAGGGAAGGAGGCAACTGCGTACAGCCAGGGGCTTCTGTTGCCTCCCACACACCCACTCTGCCTTTGCCACCTGGCCCAGGCCCAGCTAAGGGCACATCTCGCACTCCTTTGATGTTGGGGGAACACGTGTTAAACGTGACCAGGGGCCCTGAGCCCTGGCTCATACAATAATGTTTATGAAGCTTCGGTGGAGTGATCAAGATGCAGGGGAACCGCCAAAAAGAGGGTGAAATCCTGCAGAAGGCATTTGGCGTCCCGAGCATCACCTCCCTTTCCCCTAGTATTCGCCAGCAAGCCCTCGTCACAAAAGGTGAGGTGATCGACACGCAGCCCCTCTTCAGGTGGGGAAGTCTCATCTTTGCTTGCCGACATGTTCTGTGCTAAGAAGCAGATGGTGGGCAACGTTGTCACCTGCTGGTGGCTGCCCACAGAGAAGCCCCACCAGAAGACAGGGAGCAAAACGGGTCGGTGGCCTCCACTGGATCTGGTAACCCAATCGAACCCAGCTCGGCTGGCTGATGGTCCTGCAGGAGGAAACCCTGGGATGGGCAGGTGCTTAGGAGTCACCTGACGGACTGTCTCCTCCCAAAGGGCGACACCTACTGCCCAGCTGCTGACAAAATGGCCCTCCCACCATGGGCAGCCCTGTGAAGGGGCTCTAACCACTGAAAAATTCTTCCTGCTACCGTCCGGCCAGGCTTTGCCTCCCTGTGATGTCCACCCACGGATCCTAAGTCTCCCCTCAAAGTGACACCCATGTTCACAGCAGCATGACTCACAATAACCAAAAGAGGTGGAAGCAAACCAGTGTCCACGGACGGGTGAATGGAGCTACAAGGGAATATCATGCTCTTTAAAAGGAAGGAAATTCTAACATGTTGTAACGAACGAACCTTGAAGACATCTTGCTAAGTGAAATAAGCCAGTCCCAAAAGGACAAATACTGTCTGTATGAGCCCACTTCTATGAGACACCTAGAGTGGTCGAATTCATAGAGAAAATAAGTAGAACGGTGTTTGCCAGGGGCTGGGGGAGGGAGGGACGGGGAGTTGTTTAGTAGATACAGAGCTTCAGTTTTGCAAGATGAAGAGTTCTAGAGATAGATGGTAGTGATGATTGCCCGACCAGCAAGAATGTACTTGACACTACTAAACTGGATACTTAAAAATGGTTAAGATGGTAAATTTTAGGCTTCATGGTATATTTTACCACCATTAAAAACAAACGTGATACAGAACACTTCCAATATTCCTTTTCCTCATAAAAACCCTCTGAATGAACATCTTACCTAAAGACAGTGTCTCTTTCACTGTGTTCTGAGTGATAATATCAGGTAAAATCAGTCTAGAATATATTGGCCACTCTGTCCTTCAGCTGAGGTCCATGCATGCCCCCTTCAGGCCCTATCTGGGGTCTAACTTCAAAAGTACCCTCCAGTGCTCGCTTCGGCAGCACACATACTAAAATTGGAACGATACAGAGAAGATTAGCATGGCCCCTGTGCAAGGATGACACACAAATTCGTGAAGCGTTCCATACTTTTGAGACGATGGACTCTGAAAAACAAACTGAGGGTTCTAGAGGGGAGGGGGGTGGGAGGATGGGTTAGCCTGGTGCTGGGTATTAAAGAGGGCACGTTCTGCGTGGAGCACTGGGTGTTATGCACAAACAATGAATCATGGAACACTACATCAAGAACTAATGATGTAATGTATGGTGATTAACATAACATAATAAAAAAAAAAAAGAAAAAAGTACCCTCCGTATCTTTGGTCTGGCAAGGCCATTGGTGATGTGACTCAGAACTCCTTTTTGGCTGGTGTCTTCATTTGTAAATCTGGGGTACCATTAGTGCCTATCTCAATTACCTACCTCACTGGGTTGTGAAAGTAAAATGAATTCATGTGAGTAAAGCACTAAGAACACCGCCTGGCAATGTGGTAAGCATCATGTAAGTGTCTGATACGATCATCGAGACCTGAGGAAAAGACAGTGGGTTTGCCCTGCACAGCACCTTTAAAACTTCTGAATGACCTTGGACTAGCCGGGCAGCTCCAGCCTCCCCAGACTCCCCAGCCTCCCCAGGCCAGCTCCCTTTAGAATCGCTGCATGGCCCCCGAAGGCATTGGAACTGGCCAGGTTGATCCAGTTACATCTCCAACCCTACACTTTGGGGAAGAAGAAACTGAGAGTCAGTCCAGGAGGGCTGGTTCAAGGTTAGAGTAAGTTAACGATGAGTCCAGGGCTCTGTCTGTCCCACTTCGGAGACAGGGTCACATTCTGTCTGTTCCTGCTGGCCGCTCCAGTTGCCCCCAAAGCTGAGCGAACGTGGATCAATGACTTGTCTCACAGCCCTGAGGGGTTCAACTACAGTCACCCCTTCCCACCAGCTGCTTCATTTTCCCGACCCATTATTCCCTCCAACAAAATGCGCTGCAGTGAAACAATAAGAGGAAAGAGAAAGAATGTCCCCATAGCCAGCACTGCTGCTATAAATGTGGAAACAGCTGCAGCTCCAGGGAACACACATCTTTTGCAGGCCTTTTTTGTGTTTTTCTCTCCCAGAGCCTTGCAGGGTGAGAAAGAACCCACCCTCAGCAAACGAGGTGGTGACCAGTCCCCTCGGCATCTCATTGACCAGTTAAGAGCACAGAGGTTGAAACCCAGGTGGGGGCTTGATGGTTTTACATGCCCTGGTAGAAACGACTTCCTGAAAACCCAGCACAAGGAAAGGGAAAGCATGACACAGATAAATTAGGGAGCAATTACTTGTCCTACGAGAGGATTTTTATTAATAAAATGAGCCTTACAACATAGAGATCTCGGGTGTCTTTTAGACAACAGTGTTTCTTTGTGCTTTGACAATATGGTCCTGTTGCAAAAACTGAGATCTCAAACACTTTTTAGGGAAACATCCATCGTACGGAGTGAAGTGTAAGTAAACATCTTGTATATTTAATAATGGAACGCTGCCCTGTGGGCCCCAGCAAAAAGCAATTTATAAATTATTCAATTATGTGTATCTTTATACTTCTAGCATTTTTTAAATATATTATTTATTTATTTAAGAGACAGCATGAGCACGGGTGGGAGTGGGGGGTCATGGGCAGTGGGAGAGGGAGAAGCAGGCTTCCTGCTGAGCAGGGAGCCCGACGCGGGACTCGATCGCAGGACCCTGGGATCATGCACTGAGCTGAAGGCAGACACTTAACTTACTGAGCCACCCAGGTGCCCCTACTTCTAGCATTTAAACTAACAAGTCTTTTTTTTTTAAGATTTTTTTTTTAATTTATGTATTTCTTTGTCAGAGAGAGCGAGCGAGTGAGAGCGCACAAGCAGGGGGAGGGGCAGAGGGAGAAGCAGACTCCCCGCTGAGCAAGGAGCCCGATGCAGGACTCGATCCCAAGACCCTGGGATCATGCCCTGAGCCAAAGGCAGACGCTTAACCGACTGAGCCACCCAGGCGTCCCTAAACTAACAAGTCTTGATTGCAGGTCTTCTATGCCATCCAGTTTTTTTGTTGAAATATTTTCTGAACTTAATCCTTTGATATAAACTGCAAGCTTTTTGGAACTCAAAGTGGTTTTGGGGTTTTTTTTTTTAAGATTTTATTTTTAAGTAATCTCTACACCCAACGTGGGGCTCGAACTCACAAACCCGAGATCAAAGGTGGCATGCTCCACAGACTGAGCCAGCCAAGTATCCCTGGAACTCAGAATATTTTTATGAAAAATAAGACATGCTTTCATTTAAGGCAGAATCTCTCACTGAAACAGTCCTGATAATAGAAGTGTTCAACACTTTTCTATTTTGTATCTGAAGTAAAAAGGATGCATTTTTCTCATTGTTCTCTGCAGATAACAGGCAAAATGGATAAATATTAAAAAATTACATGTATTCGGGGCACCTGGGTGGCTCAGTCGTTAAGCGTCTGCCTTCGGCTCAGGTCATGGTCCCAGGGTCCTGGGATTGAGCCCCGCATCGGGCTCCCTGCTCAGCGGGAAGCCTGCTTCTCCCTCTCCCACTCCCCCTGCTTGTGTTCTCTCTCTCTCTCTCTCTCTCTCTGTCAAATAAATAAATAAAATCTAAAAAAAAAAATTACATGTATTCGAGGATATATAAACACACTCACACATACACACACATACACACGTGTGCACACACTGGATCCCCCAGCTGTGTGGTGATTCGCCACGTGGAAAGCATTTTTCCATCCACCCTTTTCCTGTCTTTCTCACAAATACCTTGTAGAGAAGGGGTTGCAGATGAGAGAGCAGAGGCTCTTAAGATGGTGACACCAGGACTCAAATCCAGATTTTCTGACTGTCTTGCTCTTTTCTCCTATCTGTTCTGACAAGGCGCTTTATTGCGCACACACGCAGAGCAAATCTTCATTTGGCAATTTAAAATACTAGTGTATCTAGTAGACGGAACCACATGAAACTGCCAATGTTTGCTTCTTGCCGAAATGGCCACCTTATAGGGTTTGTCCTAACGCATCTCTGAAGCGCTGGGCTCTGAGCTACTGTGGGTAAAGGCGGCCTCTTGTTGAAAGGAAACCAATCTTTCTAATGAGAACATGAGGTATTTATTTTCCCCATCAAATAAGCACCACACAACCTTCTAGGGAAAGGCTACCACGACGTCATGCTCCGGGGACTGCAAAGCTCCCAGGGGCCAGGGAAAGCTGTGTCCTTCTAGAAGGGCAATGGGCTCTCCAGTGGGACTGCTCATCTCCACCGCCACAGGCCATGGGTTACTTGCCGGAAAGAAGCATAAACTGGAACAAGACGGCGTTCACCCCTCCCTCCTCAACCGCCACCCCACACCCCACGGTTCTTGGGGTGCTCTGGCCTCACCGCGGGAACTTGGGGGGCCTCGGGGCTGTTTCCCATGCGGCAGGGAAGGGCGTGGAAACCGGGCATCTTATGAACTCACGTCTGTTTCTCTCCGTTGTGCTGTTCGTACACACACACACACACACACACACACACACACACACACACACACATCTTAGGGGGAAGGAGGGTTTGTTAGCAGTTCGGGCCCCTACAAAAAGGAACTGGGGCAGGGGGAGGGGGGGCGGCGGAGATGGAATTCAGGGAAAGAGCTGTGTCTGGGGAAAGCTGTAGCACTGATACAGAATGACCCATTTAAAAGGGCCATGCGAGGCAGCCCCGTGCTGCCAGGTTCCTCAGCAGACCGGCCGCGCGTGTCTGCACACGCATGTGTAAGCGCACGTGTGCGTGCACACTCACACGAGCTTTCCCACACCTGCTGGCTTTCTCCAGGTGCTCACACGAAGTTGCCAAAATTCAGACAGGTAGCAAGTGCTGTCAGTGTCTGTCTGTCCGTCTCTCCCCTCCCCCCTTTTTTTCTTTCCCTCCTGTCCCTCTCTCTCTTTCTCTCTCTCTCTCTCTCAATGTACAAAGGGGACTTTGATGAAAAGAAAAGGGATGGTGTGTTGGGCCGGCAGGTGACAGTGGCAATAATAAAGAAGAAACGGGAGAATTCAGGAAACTCCAGGCTGTTGTAACTGAGCATTCACACATCCGCCACGTGGGTGAAGACAGTGACGGAGGAGGGAGGTGAGAACAGGAGGACCCTGGCGGGAAGCTACGCCTTTTCTAGACACTGTTCATTCCTTCCTTCCTTCCTTCATTCAAAATTTAGTCGGCGGGTGAGGGGGAGGGGGCACCTGGCTGGCTCAGTCAGCAGAGCATGCGACTCTTGATCTCGGGGTTGTGAGTTCGAGCCCCATGCTGGGTGCAGAGATTGCTTAAAATAAAAAAATTCAGTCGGCACCAGCTGCCATTTGTCCGGCCCTGTGCCAGGTACTGGGGATGAGTAAAAAACCTGGACCCTGCCTAAAGGCCCCCTCCTTCCAACGGCCTCTAAAACAAGGACTTTGGCCTCCTCTTGAGACTACTAAACTGATTCCAATTTCTCGCCTTGAAGACTCCGTCTCTATTCTGAGTCCACTCTGGCCTCTTCTGGGAGGAGTAGGGAGTTAACATTTATACGGCGTGGTTATATCTTCGCTTTATCTCCTTTATCACACATATCATCCCATTTCACAGATGTAGAAACTGAGGTATAGCACAGTTAAGTAATTTGCCCAAGATCCCTCTTTAGGAAGCAGGTAGCCAGGATTCAGATCTAGGCTGACTGGCTCCAGAGAGCCTGTGCTCTTTAACCATTACCCTAGAATGCCTTTCAGGCAAAGGCAAAGAAGAACATGGGAAAGGAAGGGCAGTGTCCCACCACTGTAAGAGGTTGGTGTAAGGAAATGACACTTGAATCATTGTCAGGAGCTGTGGGTCCAAGTCCCGATTTTGCCACTAGGGGTCAAGGATTGTAACATTTTTTTAAAGTGCTTTTTTTTTTTTTTTTTTTTTTTAAGTAGGCTCCACGCCCAGCATGGAGCCCAATGCGGGACTTGAATTCACGACCCCGAGATCAAGATCTGAGCTGAGATCAAGTGTTGGACGCTTAGGGGCGCCTGGGTGGCTCAGTCAGTTGAGCATCTGCCTTTGGCTCAGGTCACGATCTCGGGGTCCTGGGATCCAGCCTCTGGGATCCAGCCCTGCGTCAGGCTCCCTGCTCAGCAGGGAGTCTGCCTCTCCCTCTCCCTCTGCCTCTTGTCCCCGCTTGTGCTCTCTCTCTCAAATAAATAAAATCTTAAAGAGAAAAAAAAAAAGAGTTGCAGGCATCCCCGTCTCCTTTTTTTTTTTTTAAGTAAACTCTAGGCCCAAAGTGGGGCTTGAGCTCATGACCCCAAGATCAAGAGTCACGTGTTCTTCCAACTGAGCCAGCCAGGAGCCCTACTGCAACATTTTCTAAAGTCAGGTGGGAAAATAGAATTAGGGAAATGGGTAACTTCATAGCCAAGAAGAAAAAACCAAGAATCATATAGGGAAGGGCCCCATTTGAAATGAGCCTGCAGAAAGTGAGGAGCGTCTGTGAGCCCTACCATCAGCCAGGTCTGCCTGGCATTTCCGGGTCTGAGCTGGAGAGTAGACAAGGACTGAGGTGCAGAGGGGACGCCAAGACAGGCCTGTTGGGACAGGAGGTGCTCACCATCACGATGTTGGCCAGGTGGGCAGAGACGAGCGCATACACTCCTCCAGAGGAGCCCACGACCGGTGCAGTCATGTCAGCCACAGACACTGCCAAGGACCCTGGTACAGAGAGAGATCGGGAATTCAAGGATGCTGGAGTGAGCTCCCCGCCCCTGCCCCAGGCCCTAGTATCCAGCAGCCTTGGGGTAAGACCCTAGAGCAAAAGGTTCCATCTCCTCTTGGCCTTCATCCCATGTTGTCCTGGAGCCCCCTAGAGGCCTAATTTATGGCTGAAAGAACCATTAGATTCAAACTTCTTTTATAGGAGACCCAGTGGAGGGGGGGATCACCTGCCTGTCAGGGCAGCCTCTGCCTCACCTGGTGTCATCTCAGGGTTTAGGGCAATAAGAAATACTAGCAGAGGGGCGCCTGGGTGGCTCAGATGGCTAAGCGGCTGCTTCCGGCTCAGGCCATGATCCCGGGGTCCTGGGATCGAGTCCCGCATCAGGCTCCCTGCTCAGGGGTAAGCCTGCTTCTCCCTCTGCCTGCCGCTCCCCCTGCTTGTGCGCTCTCTCTCTCAAATAAATAAATAAAATCTTTTTAAAAAGATCAAGAAATAGTAGAAGCAGAAGTAGTGCATGGGCACCATGCATCACACACTGGCCGCGTGCTTTACCTACATGGTCCCATTTAATCCTTTGAGGACAGAGACGGTGGCCACACCACAGAGGTGAGGAGACTCAGCCCAGAGTCACTCAGTAGGAAGGGCTGGAACCAGGATGTGAGTCCAGCTTTGTGGCACAAGGCCCGTGCTCTTGGCCTCGACAGCAGCCACTCCCCAGACTGGTACAGAGGTCAACATCCATCCTCCACCACCGCTCGCTCTGCTCACCGGCGTCTAGAAACCTGCTTGGCATCACCTCCAACCTCCCTCCAGCCAAGTGAAAGAGTGAAATTACCAAAGGCCAACAGGATCTCCGGAGCAGGGTGGGGGCTGTTCTCTGGAGGAAAAATGTCCTTGAAAAGTCCCAGGGAAGAGAGAGAGATGATGTCATACCCTCTGGGGGAAAAGAAGGGTGTAGACTTTTGGTCTGGGGGATGACAAACTTTTGTGCTGGATGGGAAACCGAGCAGAGAGGAGAAGGGAAATGTATTGTTCTGGTCTCATTTAAGTGGGATCAATGCTTTGGCTTCCAGGGAAGGACACGGGAGACTAAAAATAACTGGGAGGTAGAGCCCAGGGCTCCGAGGCTGAGAAGTGGCCGGCCTGGGTGAGTGTGCAGAAACCACCACTGGAAAATGCCCGCAGGCTCAAGAGCCAATTAGCCTCTGCCTGGGTGGAGACAGGAGGGACCGGCCCAAGGCCAAACTCTGCAGGTTCTACAGAGGTGGGGGGTCTGCTACTTAGGCGGGGGCTGGGCCAAGGCCAGGAGCCAGACCACCTGACACCCCTGAGCATGGAGAACCCCCATAACATCATCCACTTTCTCTCCCCTACCAGCCCCCTTGGACTTCTCTCAGGGCTCCGTGGCTCACTGAGATCCTTCAAGTAAGAGATAGCCACAGCCAATTCTGGGTCTCAAGGGGGATGTGATCTCCCAGGAAAAAGCATTGCCATGAACGGGGGGCTCCCAAGTCCTTCTCCCCTCCCAGGGTAACTATAAATCTTTCTTCTCCCCTTTCATGCCTTCCCTCTGGCTTTAATTAGGTATTGATCTATTGTCAGATAACTTTTTTTTTTTTTAACTGCCTAGCCAAGGGGTCAGCCATATATAACAGAAAAAAAAAAAAATCCCAGGACGGCAAACAGGCAGGCGGTGGGATCTGCATGACAAAGGATTCCCACGCTCTCCCGGAGGCCCGCACAGCAAGGAAAGCTGCATTGCAGGGCTGCGGAGGGCTGGCTGCCCGAGCAGCTCATTAATTACCGCGTGGACAGAGGAAGCCCCAGCCTCCCCGGGCTGGCCTCTTTCCTCTCACAGGTCCCACCAAACCCGCCCAGCTTCTGCTCGCCCGGCCTCCCAGGTGCGATGGAATCCACACACCGTCCAGGGTCCAGCCTCCCCACACTGACCCTTCTCTCGCCCTACCCATGGGTAGAAGTCCCCGACCCCTCAGGGGTCAGTTTGGGATTGTGGTGGGAGTCTGGAATGGGGGCGTGACTGGCTAGTCGTATGACCTTGGGCACAGCCCCTGAATTCTTTGGGCTTCAGCTTTCACATCTGTGAAATCAAGAGGTCTAAGGCTTTTCAACTTCTAAGCAGCAGAAACCCTCTTTTCAAAGGAAACTTTACCCACACCCCTACCCCACGGAGCAGAGCACAGGGAGCCTATGGCTAAAGGGGGGTGGGGCCTGGGGAGTCAAATTTGCCACCCACCAGAGGGGACCTCAAGAGTTCCTTCCGGATCACAGATTCAATCACCTGAATCTTGGCCTGAGATCCAAGATCCGAGGTTTGGATCCTGGTTCTAGAATCCTGGAGGTAACAATCTGGACTCACCGGTCCTCCACGTGTGGTGGAAAGACTTTCCTCAAGAGGCTGCAGTTTAGCCCTGGACTAGAGGGAGTTGGGAAAGGTCAAATACAAGCATGGGCATGTGTGCCTATCAATAAGAGTAATAAAGGCCACCCCTGGGGGCAGGAAGCCTGGGCCAAGCAGGATTCCTGACAAGCTGTTTGGAAACTAACCTAACGGATGACAGCTCCATAAGGCCAGTATGAATTCCCCAGAGGTCATGGGGACAGAATGGCAAGCTGGAGGGACACACACATCTCTGCACAGCAGCAGGCCCAAGGACTAGTTCCAGTCGGGGCTGTGAACTTTCTCAAAAAAATTCTGGGTCCACACCGGCATGCAGATAAATTGGAGACTTTATCATCATGCACAGCTGCGATAATTTTAGCCTGAAATATTTAAAGCAGGTGTTTTCCAACGTCTCCCTTGGCCATTAAAAAAGAAAAAAAAATCCCAATAAAAATCAGCAGAACATCTACCTTTAAGCAATATAACTTTATTTATGTATGTATTCTTCCATTTGTTCTACAAATATTTGTTGCTTAACATATGCCAAACCCTGTGTTAGGCTCTGGGGAGGCACACGTGGCTTATAATCTACATAATCTATAAGAAGAGCTTGCCGAAGAGCTTAAAATACTGGCTTTTACAGTATCTAAAATTTCAGCCATGGATTTGTTAGCTAGAAGCAAGAGACGCACTGGCCTCAAGCACTGGGCAGAGGAAGGATTTCCACTCACTTCTAGTACTTCTTAGTCCTTCTGAGAAAATTGAGCAAGTCATTTCACCTCTCGGAACCTCTTATAAAATGGGGGTGACAGTACCCACCTCGTAAGACTTGGTGAATTCAGGACACAATGTGCAAGAATCCCCTATGGCGCCTGGCAGACGTTAGCTGCCATTGCTACAAATTGTGACGGACTTGCCTTTGGAGCTTTTTCACCGGGCAGGAACTAAAGGGCAGGGCCCGATGCCTATTAAGACCTCCCAGGCGCCTGGGTGGCTCAGATGGTTAAGCGTCTGCCTTCGGCTCAGGTTGTGATCCCAGGGTCCTGGGATCGAGTCCCGTGTCGGGCTCCCTGCTCCTTGGGAGCCTGCTTCTCCCTCTGCCTCTCTCTCTCTCTCTGTCTTTCATGAATAAATAAATAAAATTAAAAAAAAAAAAAAAACCTCCCTGGGTTTCTGACAATGAATTATCTGCACAAAGGAAAAGGCCTGCTTTTTTGGTTCTCACTGCATATGGCAGTGGTTTGAAGCAAGCTTTTGGGGTCGGGCGGCTTGGGTCTGGGGCCAGCTCCACCATGTACAACTGAGTCTCCTTGGGCAAGTTGCTGAGGCATGCCAAGTCTCGGGTTCTGTACCTGTGACAAGTGGAAAGTGCTAGTACCTGCCTTAGGAAGGCAGGCCCTTCCTAACTACTGGGTATCCAGTCAGGACCCGGCTGTCTGTGAAGGGGGCCCCTTCTCGGACTTGGGATGCACACAGAGTAGAGAGGGAGGAAGGGGTACAGGCAGATCCATCAACTCGATCCTGGAGATCAATGACATGATATACGGCGACCAGAGTGCCCTCTCTAAATCAATGCCTCCGACAGAATAGTACACGTTATTTGCTTTATGAGACAGCCCCACACTCTGCTGGTTAGTTGGCAAGCTCCCCCCTTCCGTTGGTGCACCATCCCCCTCTGCACTGGTGTCACTGGGAAGTGTCACCAGCGCAGCCTCCCTGCTGAGTGTCATCTGGTTTGGGTGAGGCCTGAGTCATCTTGAATCTGATTTCTGTCTTCTGGGTTATTGGCACTCCCTTCCAATTGACTACTAACTGCAAGTGTTATGAGTGTCTTTCCTGTTCCTCGCTATTAACCATCTGGGTCTCTGGGTATCTAGGTAGAGAAAATGTGGCTATAAATCTCAAGATGTCAAGACTTGGGGGGGGTGCGTGGGTGGCTGAGCAAGTCTGGCACAGAGCTCCTCATTAGACCTTTTGTTCAAGGATGTGGAAGGTACTGGATGCCGGGAGAAGCTCGTGGGGGTGCTGTCCGTGGGGGTGCTGTCCAAGGTGGCCAAGTTTTCAACCCTCAGCCTACAGAGAAATGAAGAAGCTGTGGGGCCAATCTCCCACGCTGAGGGTTCCTGAACTAGCAGACCAGCCTTGCATGGGTGGGTGGGGTGGGACCCTTCCCTCTCAGATTCTTGAAGCCACATCAGTTACTCCCAGCGTCCCTGTGTGCCTGTGGTTTACAAGGTCAACGGTGCCCTGCCCTCCTGATGACAATTTTAATGCCACTCAGAAAGGATTAAGATCTTACTTAAACACACACACAAAGCTCCCTTGGGCACAGCTGTCAAGGTGAAGAGCTGAGGCGGCAAACCTTGTAAAAAGAAAAAGAAAAAAAAAGCCAGCTATATAAACTTGGAAACATCACGAGGGAGAGCCCTCTGTTCAGAAACCTGGTTGGTGCAGACTTTTCCTGCAGAAACGCAGCCTGCTCTCCCCAGCTCACCCCAGCCTGCCTCACCTCCACTGGGGAGGGAGAGGGGGAGTCCTGCTGGCCATAGGGTACCCTTCCCATCCTCAAGGTCAGGGTCCTCCGCCGTGTGAGCAGAGTCAGCGGGGCCCCAGTCTCCTTCAGCTTGCATGGGTGCTCACCACGTCTCAGGCCAGACTGTTTCCGGTCAGCAGTGGGTCAATCAGGAGGGCAGGTGCTGGCCTGGCTGGGACGGACCTGGGCCCACCCACACCTTGGATGTCCCTGCAGGAATCTCACCGCGCCCAGCATGCTTTACACGGCCCTCTTACTCCACTTGTCATCCCCCTCTTGCCCTCCTAACCCCCTACAGGCAAATCTGATTAGTTCCTTCCTAAAACCGAACAGGGCCAAGAGAGGTTAAGGAATTTCCCCAAGCTCACACAGCTTCAACATGGCAGCATAAAGACGGAAAGTCTCCTCCCCTTGCCATTACATGCCTCTCCCTGTGGATGGTAGGCCCCTTTCCAGCCCCCCCTGGGGCGGTGGCGAGATTGGCCCGGAGGACAGCCCTAATAGTTAGGAGCCTTGGGGATGGGGTCTGGTGTCCCTGGAAGCCTGGGACTTGCCCAGTCCCGTGGGGTCTCCTGGCCGCCTTGGGGAAGTTTACCTCTGTGGATTCGTGGCCCACCTGCCTACCTGCCACAACACCAGCCACGTAGACAAGCCCAATACGGGTTGCTCCATGCACCATCTCCAAGGGCACCCCCACGAGGAGCTGCAGCACCACGTTAAGTCCCAGGTGTTCTATCCTGTATAGAAAGACCACACTCCATCATTCATTCAGCAAACACTGTATGCCAAGATGCAGGGGATCCAGCAGTGAATTATACCTGCTTTGAGGAGCTCATGGTCTGGGTTGGGAGTGGGGGCAGGAATTACAATGCAGACAGACCATCTTGGAAAGAGCATACCTTGCCTGCCACCTGGGACAGGAACGGTGCAGGGCCTGGGCAGCGTTTGGCAATGTCTGCACCTGCCATAGTGAAGAGGGCAGCTAACTGTGGTAGAGATCCAGCAAATCCCTCAGCTGACACATGAGAAGCCAAGGCTTGGAGAGGGGCACTGCCCGGCTTAAAGTCACACAGCTCAGGTTCCTGGTGTGCAGAATCTGCTCCACTCACCAGGCTACAAGGGTGCTCTGGGGCTCACTATTGTATGTGTAAGAGAAAAATGTTTTCAGGGCGCCTGGGTGGGTCAGTCAGTTAAGTGTCTGCCTTCGGCTCAGATCGTGATCCCAGAGTCCTGGGATCAAGCCCAGCGTCCGGCTCCCTGCTCTGCAGGGAGCCTGCTTCTCCCTCTCTGTTTGGCCCTCCCCCTGCTTGTGCTCTCTCGCGCTCTCTCTCTCAAATAAAGTCTTAAAAAAAAAAAAAAGGAAAGATGTTTTCAAAACAAAAGCAGCATTAGTGGGGTGCCTGGGTGGCTCAGATGGTTAAGCGTCTGCCTTCAGCTCAGGTCATGATCCCAGGGTCCTGGGATCGAGTCCCGCACAGGGCTCCCTGCTCAGCGGGGAGCCTGCTTCTCCCTCTGCCTCTCTCTCTTATGAATAAATAAAATCATTAAAACAAACAAACAAACAAAAGCAAGCATTAGAGGAATCTCTTAGAACTGAATAATTCTTTTTTTTTTTTAAAGATTTTATTTATTTGACAGAGAAAGAGAGAGAGGGAGCAAGCACAAGCAGGGGGAGCAGGAGAGGGTGAAGCAGGCTCCCCGCCGAGCAGGGAGCCCAACGCTGGGCTCGATCCCAGGACCCTGGGATCATGACCTGAGTTGAAGGCAGACACTTAACTGACGGAGCCACCCAGACGCCCCTAGAACTTAAAGAGTTCAAAGTTATCCCTTAAGATCTCACAGGGGAAGCTTCTCCCTCCTGGTGTGAGAAGGAACACTCTCTACTCCCAAACTCCCAGGGATGGCTTTTCTTACTCTGTGAATACTTCCCTTTTTATACTATCATACACCTGTGACCAGATCTTGTTGCTAAATGGTGTCTAGCTGAGTGCACCTGTTACTAGAAAAAACTGTAACATTACTGTCACTACATCAAATTATGTGCTTTCAAGTTTACAAAACGCTTTAACATCCATTATCTCATTTAAACTGAGCCTGCAGCATCTGCACAGCTTCCTGGGGATGGTTAAGTTATAGGGTAATAGAGCACATCAGGGGGGGCCCTGGCCTGGGTCACAGCCCTGGCCCTGGTCGGCAAGGCCCTGCCTGGAGGCCAACTGCTGTGCCGCTCGGGTCCACGTGGGCACCTGCCTGCCCGGGAGAGCACCTGCAAGGTAGCTCAGACAGATGCGGCTCTGTCCTAAACTCCCACCATGCCTGGAGTTTTCTAGCCCACACCGACTGTGCCAAAGGGTTAGAAGCGTCAGACAAATGCCTTGGAAAGGAGTTGGACGGTAGCATCAGACTCAGTCCTTGGTTTACAGATGAGAGCCCGAGACTGGAAGACGCCAAGAGAGGGCTCCTGCCTCCCAAGCCGAGCTCCTTCCTCTCTACCACACTGATTTCTGGATTCACCAGTCCACAGTGGGCCTCCCGGTCATAGGTCACCTTGCTGGGCTCGCCCCACATGCTGGCCAACCATCCCTACCTCCTGTCTGCTGCAGCACCGTCCACCCTCCCTCAAAAATCACACACCAGGAGGCTCCTCCCAGGGTTCCCCCAGGCAGGCACTGCCCCATCAGAAGCACCAGCCAGAGAAAGGCCAGAGGCCACCCCTATGGGCCTCGGCTAAGAGTCTCTGTGCCCTGTCCACTTCGGCCTCCAGGCTTTTAGTTCCCAGAGGCAGGGAATGGACAAGGAGGCTTTGGAGGCTTTGTGCATGCTTGTTCCTCACCCCAGAGGCTCAGGGAAGGCCAGAGGGCAGTCCCAGAAACAAGACAGGCAGTTCCATCCCATGTGCAGTCAGAGGCTGGGCAGCCTGGGCAGGGAAGCCTCCTTCCCCCCACCAGTTCCTTGGTTCACAAGAAGACCAATGCATGATGCGCCGCCTTGTTCTGCTCCTTGGTCCTGTGAGAGCAAAGCCTGAGACACGGCAGGCAAAGCGTCAGCCTGTGCGAACCATCCCCTCTCTGGCTCAGAGTGGAGCCAGCCATTGGTAACCACTGACATGCCTGTTCACCCCAAAACTCCTCTTCAGTAAGTGCAGCCAATTAGGGATTGGCACCTGTGCTGCTCTGGAGGCTCCTCAGCAGGAGGGGAGGCTCACAGTGTGGCTCCCTCTTGGCCATTGTGGGTCTTTCTGCTAAGGAATGGGAATAATGGAGCCACAGGGACCAGAACGATCCTCTTCCCATTTCCAACCCCAGGGACAAGCACCCCCAGAGCTTTTCCCAGGCGAACAGTGAGCCCTTTCGCTTCTCTCTGCAGAGGCCATAGAAGACACAACAAAGGTCTGGGTGTCTGGCTACTCAGCTTTCCCAACTCAGTGCTTTTACTGTGGAAAAACAGTCTCCAGTCAAGAGGGGACTGGGACCCGGGTGGTCACCTGGCCAGACAGTAGGTCCTTATCATGGGGTAGGAGGCACCCGTGAGAACTGACTGTATTCCAGCCCCCAAAGAGGCCACATATCTGTCAACAGAAACTACCAGTATTGCTAGAATTCCTCAAAAAGACTCTCACCACCTATGGAGACCACCTTGGGAAAAAGGCACTTTCAAGAAATTTGTCCTTTATTTCACTTAGGGACACACACACACACACACACACACACACAGAGTTCGTGGACAATGAACTTGGTTGCTATCCACACTTCCCTTTTTGCCTTGGCCACCAGGAAGCTCAGAGTAAACTTATAACCTACATTTATACTGCTCTCACTGTGGGCTTAAATTGAGCATTTTCATCCGTCCATTTCCCCCTTCCCACACGCTGTCAATAAGTAACACATATATTTTGGTATTAGATAAAGGAGCCACCTCAAATGCTGTGTCCAGGCAGATAAGAATAAACTAAAACAACATGTATTTCAATCTAGGCTCTCTGGACCTCCTATTTTCCCACGGGCACTCTGGCCAGAGCGAAAGAAGGCAGGTACCCACCCCGCATGCATGAAGATGTACGTCAGGTAGCGCCACGCCTGTGCTCGGAGCTGCGGGTGGTAAACCAGGGAGTTCTTCAGGTACCGCGGATGGGTCACCTGCAGCACGAATTGGTCCAGCGACACTCCATTGTAGAGGAAAAAGGCAACCTGGATGAAAACACAGGACGGCGAGGGCCTGTTACGGACGCCAGACTGCCCACGAGCCCTCTGGCGCTGACTAACCCTTGGGATCCCTACTGGAAGTTGTCCCCTTTCCTCCTCAGAGAATGAGGGACACCTGTACGGCCAGCGTCCAGCCTAGCTTTCAACCACCTCTCCCCGCACTTCTCTTTGATTATTTTGGTTTTGGGTTGTTTTTGGTTTTTTTTTTTAAAGATTTTATTTATTTATGTGACAGAGAGCACAAGCAGGGGGGCAGGAGGAGCGGCAGGCAGAGGGAGAGGCAGAGGGAGAAGCAGGCTTCCTTGCTGAGCCCGATTCGGGGCTCGATCCCAGGACCCTGGGGTCATGACCTGAGCAAAAGAAGATGCTTAACTGACTGAGCCACCCAGGCATCCCTCTGTTTGGTTATTTTGTATTAAATGGTCACAGCATGGTCACAGGGGCTGGGCCCACACCTCCTCAAGTGCTAGGCAGGAAGGGCTCAGAGGGTTTTAAACTAATTGCAGTGGGGTGCCTGGGTGACTCAGTCGGTTGAGCGTCAGACTCTAGGTTTCGGCTCAGGTCATGGTCTCGTGGTCATGGGATCGAGCTCCACGTCGGGCTCTGTGCTCAGCAGGGAGTCTGCTTCAGATTCTCTCTCCCTCTCCCTCCCCGCGCTTGCTGTCTCTCTCTCTCTGCTCTCCCTTGCTCTCAAATAAATAAATAAAATCTTTTAAAAAACCCCAACGAATTGCAGTAATAACTTACATACTCATTTGGGAGAAGAGGCAATGCCACATAAGTAGATTTTTTTAAACTGTGGCAAAATACACATAAGAAAAAATTTCCCATCTGTATCAGTTTTAAATGTACAGCTCAGTGGCATTCAGTATATTTATGTTGTTGCACCAGCTACAGAAGTCTTCTCATCTTGTAAAACTGAAACTCTGTCTCCATTCAACACCAACTCCCCACTCTCCTCTCCCCCAGCCCTGGCAACCACCATTCTACTTCCTGTCTCTATGAACTTGACTCCCCTGGGCACCTCATCCAAGAGGACTCACACAGTGTCTGTCTTTTCGTCGCTGGCTTATTTCACTTAGCATCGTGTCCTCAAGGTCCACTCGTGTTATAGCACGTACCCGGATTTCCTTCCTTTTTAAGGCTGAATACTATTCCACTGAATTTACAGAGCACAGTTTGTTACCCATTCATCCATTCATTCAACACTTGGGTTACTTCCACATTTTAGCTATTGTGAATAATGCTGCCATGGAGACACGTATACCAATATCTCTTTGAGTCCCTGCTTTTGATGTTTTTCAGGTATATACCCAGAAGTGGGGTTGCTGGATCATATGGTAGTTCTGTTTAATTTTCTTAGGAACCGCCATACTGTTTCCAGTAATGGCTGCACGAGTTTGCATTCCCACCCACAGTGCAGCAGGGCTCCCATTTCTCTGCCTCCTCACCAACACTCCACATGAGCTGATTTCTGCAGATGACTGAAGCATCCTTGTTTACCCCAAAAAGGTGTTGTTGTTTTTTTTCTAGACTCTTTCTAAAATGCATCATTCAGGGGCGCTTGGGTGGCTCAGTCAGTTAAGCATCCAGCTCTTGATTTCGGCTCGGGTAATGGTCTCGGGGTCATGAGATCGAGTCCCGCATTAGGACTCAGTCTGGAGTCTGCTTGGGGTTCTCTCTCATCCTATTCTCTCTCTCTCCCTATTCTCTCTCTTTTAAACAAATAAATAAAATCTTAACAAAAAAAAATAAAAAATAAAATAAAATTCATCATTCAGGGGCACCTGGCTGGCTCAGTTGGAAGAGCACGTGACTCTTGATGTCGTGGTTGTGAGTTCGAGCCCCATGTTGGGTGCAGAGATTACTTAAATAAACTTTTTAAAAAATAATAAAATAAAATAAGAAAATGCATCACTCACATTCCTGTGTTCCTCCTCAGGGTGTATGCATACTCTTAAAGCTGTCTCAGGTATTGATCTGGGCTGTTAGAGCAAAGTCTTCTCCAGCAACTGATGGGGGTTTTTACTCCTACAGAAAACAGCCCCCAAATTCCTGTGTTTCTTTAAGACTCAGGTCTGCTTCTAAATTTTTCGTTCTCTCCCATACTGCCAGGTTGGCAGCAGGTTATTAACCAGGTACAACAACCAGGTTCTTACTCCCTGTTGCTGGCTGGTCGTGAGCCCCTTCTAGTAGTTTCTTACCATGTCCCTTCCATTCCCTGTTATGGAACCAGAAAACCAAGTTCCTAAAACTGTATGTAAAACAAAAGCTTTGGGCTTTAGTACAAGTATTTGGAAATAGTTATTTCCATATTTTCTTCCAGATTGGCAGTTTGAGTTTACATGGCTGAAGTTTCTGGAAATGTGAAACCAATCTGGACACTCAATCTGGCCTCTCTGGATGACCTTGGATAAATTATTTGAAGTCTCTGGTCCTTGGTTTCCTCATCTGGAAATGGGGATGCCAATGCCTACCCTTCCAGGGTGGTCATGAGGTTTGAAGGGGGTAAAGTACACGAAGAGCCAGCCGAGTGCCCGTCACGCACACAGCAAACGAAGCTATAATTAGTGTGGGGTTCAGGCCCCGCAGCAGGACTCCCCTGGGCTCTATGGGGGAACCCCTCTGTCCTCTGGGCAGCAAATACAGCTCCCAAGGCAGCTCATTATTACCGGTCCTCAAATAGAACTTAATGAATAGTCCAACACAGAAAGCATTTGGAGAACGATTCCAAGAATATCTCAGAAAAATCCCATCTTCAACATGGACTTGGATGAAGACATAACAACAAATGGAGGAGCGCGGGGGTACAGAGCAGCTAGTCTGATTTAGGAAAAAAAAGAAGGAGGATGCCACGGAGCTTAATGATCCTGTTACTGGATTCAGCATCAACTTTACAAGAACATATGCGGGGGGCGGGGGTGGTAATTAGGCCCATGGCTCTGGAAGAGAAACCTTTGCAGACTATAGCATGTGGTTCAGGAGCTGGGGCTGGGGGCCCATGAGGTTCTAGGCTGAACAGCCAAAAGAATTCAGAGTTTCTCACACATGGGCACTGATTCTGAAATTCGTCCCTTTGGATTCTATTGCATAAGCAGAAGACGGTTAGAGTAACAGTAGGTATGGATGATTCCCTAAGGGGAGAAGATTCTTTCAAAATGTTAAGCCCACATTTACCTATTCATAAACACCCCCTCCCATATGCATGTGTAATGCTTTTGCGTTCAGAAAGCACCACCAGCCGCTCTTGCTCTAGGATAGAGGAGTCCTACGGGAGGAGAGCAGGTCTGGTTATCCCTACTTTGCAGGTGGGCGGTGGAGTCCCAGGGGAGCAAACTACTTGCCCAAGTTACTCACTCCGGGAGGAACTAAAATAACTAAAATCACTCGGTTTTTAATGAGTTAACTACCCCCAAATCAACAAGCTTATTACATTGCTTGTGTTGCTGTGGTTTTGGTAGGGGTGGAAATATGGGAATTTTGCCGTGGGGAGGATCGCTTGATAATAATCCTCGGGATAGCCTTGCGGTCCCAGGGGCTGGGACCACACTTGTAGGTACTGTCACGGGGCCGGATTGGCAAATGACAACTGATCCTCGACCACTGCCTTTTCGGGGAGAAGACGTTACCCTTCCCCTCTGGATCTCAGCTAGTCTCCTGCTCCCCCGCCCCCACCGCCTCCCCAAGCCTGAGCAGCTCCCCTCAACCTCCCCACCCCCAGTCCTTGCCTCCAGCAGTGTGACTGTGATCATGAACCAGGGCGGGGGGCAGCAGGTGTAACTGTCGTAGTACCACTTCCGGTCAATCTCCCGGGGCAGGGTCTCGTAGGCCACGTGGCGGATCAGCCGCTGGGAGAGGTTCAGCCCTTTCTCCTCCAGTAGGGCTTTGCTGCAGAGCCTGCGGTTCCCCTGCAGGATGGCCTGGCGGAAGCTGTTGGACCGCTTGTTGCTCATCTGTGCAGGACACATGGTGGGGCAAAGGGTCAGAACGGGAGTCTCGGGGAGCCCTGACCCGTTTCCCTAGCCAGCACATTCCTTGGACTAACCAGGGCTCATCCCCCTTCCTCCTTCTTCTATAATAGTTAACAAGAAGCAATATTCACTGAGCTCTTCTGTGGCCGAGGTGGTTCTAAGCTCTTCACGTGTGTTGGGCTCACTGGATACTCTTAACTGGTCTACCTGTTAGGTAAGGACTAGGAATATCCCCATTCTACCAAATCACAGAGAGTTTTAGGAACCCACCAAGTTCAAACCCAGTATGACTCCAGAACCTATACTGATGTTCACCGTTCCTTCCTTCTGTGCACCTGTCCGTCAGCCGTCAGTCACAATTTACTGGGTCACTACTAAGTATCAGCACATTGCCAGACACGGGGGGGCGGGGCGGGTGTGACGGTGCTCAGGACAAATAACCTAAGCAGCAATCATGGTTCCGTGTGAAGGCTGCTGAGGGAGCAAGCAGGCAGGGGCCCAGCCTGGTCCCATGGTGGTTGGGGAGGGCCTTCCGTTGATCCCATTCTCATCCTCTCCATGCCTACAAAGCTTGGATCTGGTTCTTGGTGGCTCAGGAGGAGTTCGGGAAACGTGGGCAGAGCTTGGGGCTCCATGTTCATTCACTGCAAGCTCAAGAAAGGATCATGAGTGAGAACTGAAAGATGATGAGGAGTTCGCGTCCTCAGACATCCTCGCTTGGGAAGAGGTGGGCAGACCTTGGTTAGATGGGCGAGTTTGTAGAGAGGTCTCTAGGACTAGAACCCAAACCTGTGCTTGCGGGAGGCCATCACTCCTGGGGGCCTTTAAGGGACCTGCAATGCCTGGCAAGCCCAGGAACTGGTTCTAGAGCCTTGTCTGTGGACTGGTCCTCCCCTCAGCAGCCTAATGCTGCCATGATGAATGCTCACTGGAGTCCTGGCTGCCTCGCTGTGGTCGGTCTGATTCCCAGAGACCAGGTGGCCGGTCCTGCTAACTCCCAGCCTCCTGGGACCTCTGTCGCCTCCCACCTGCCCTCCACGACCACACTCTAGACCCTTTTTATGAGGAGATAGAGCTCTCCCAACCTCAGAGCCCACAGGGCTGCCTGGGGAGCCGAGGCAGGGACTATCCACATATTCCTGGGACTGTGGCCTTAGCAGGGGACATTTGGCTAACCCTAGGCAGAAGTCCAGACAGGGCTGGCCAGGTGAACTAGCCCAAGGCACAGGGGTTCGAAGCTGTGTCAGGAGGGAGTAACCAGAGAGGATCTGAGTTCAGAGCAGGCCACGTAGAATGAGCCTTTGTCTGCAGTCCCCCTTCTCTGTTCCTGGGTTCTATGGTCTTTTGCCTTCAAAATCTGGCTTAACGCTCGCCCCCTCCAGTAGGCCTTCCCAGATGAACCCCTTCCAGTGATCCCCATTCTCATCCTCTCCATGCCTACAAAGCTTGGATCTGGTTCTTGGTGGCACAGGAGGAGTTCGGGAAACGTAGGCAGAGCTTGGGGCTCCATGTTCATTCACTGCAAGCTCAAGAAAGGATCATGTTATCAAACTGTTATCTTTTTTATTTTATACAAACTATTTTTTAAAATTTATTTTTAGAGGAAGAGAGTGCACAGGCAGGAGGGACAAAGAGAAAGAGAGAGAGAGAGAGAGAGAGAGAGAGAAAGAGAGAATCCTGAGCAGGTTCCGCGCTCAGTGCAGAGCCCGACATGAGGCTCGATCTCACAACCCTGAGATCACGGCCCGAGCTGAAATCAAGAGTCGGACACTTAACTGACTGAGCCGCCCAGGCACCCCTGTCAAAGTCTTTTGCGGGCACTCTTACCATCCTCTCTCCCAGTCCCTGAATATGCACAGCATACTCACAACACACCCTGGCCACACCCTGAAGACTGACGCCGGGGGTGGGCTTGCCACGAGGACAGGGGAAGCAATGTGCCCACATACCATTCGCCTGCACCCTGATGTGCCTAGAACCAAGCCAGGTCTCAGGCCTCGTGGGGCTTACAAGGAGAGGCGAATGCTAGTTATTGGGTGCACAGCACTTTCTCACATTATAAAGATGGGGACTAGGGGTGCCTGGCCGGCTCAGTCAGTAGAGCATGCAACTCTTGATCTTGGGGTCGTGAGTTCGAGCCCCACATTGGGCATACAGATTACTTAAGTAAACAAATAAACTTTTTAAAAATAAATAAATAAAAAATAAAGATGGGGACTAAAGCTTGGAGAAGGTGAATAATTTTCTCAAGGACCCAAAGAGGGGCGCCTGGGTGGCTCAGTTGGTGGCACATCTGCATTCGGCTCAGGTCATGATCCCAGGGTCCTGGGATCGAGCTCCACGTCCAGCTCCTGGCTCAGAGGGGAGGCTGCTTCTCCCTCTCCCTCTGCCTCTCCCCCCTGCTTGTCCTCTCTCTTTCTCTGTATCTCTTTGTCTCGAATGAATAAATAGGATCTTTAATTTAAAAAAAAAAGGGGGACCCAAAGTCAGGATTCAAATCCAGATACATCTGACTCCAGAGCCCATGCCAGCCTGTAGGGTACTTTTGTGCCACTAGATAAGGGAGTCTTTTCTTGCAGGTGGATGCACCCATTCTAGGCCTTGGTGAAGAAAGCCCAGGCCAGATTTCAGTCCCAATTCATCTTACTGGCAGTCACCCTTGCACAGTGCACAAGCTGCACGCCCGTACATGACGACCCTGGCCACCCAGCTATAATACAATGTGGTCTGTGCTCTAAGAGAGGCCTGGGCAATGCACTGTGGGGGCTCTGGATAAGGTTGGTTCATTCGGCCCAGGTTGGGTTGAGAAAGGGCTCACAAAGGATGTAGGGGAGTTTACCTAGGGGAAGAACATTAGAGATGACAAAATCTTTCAAATACTCCATCTTATTTAATCCTTGCGACAGCCCCAAAGAGGATATCCTTTGGCTTCATTGCACAAATGAGAAAACCCAGGGGCACCTGGGTGGCTCAGTCGTTAAGCGTCTGCCTTCGGCTCAGGTCATGATTATCGAGTCACACATTGGGCTCCCCGCTCAGTGGGAAGCCTGCTTCTCCCTCTCCCACTCTCCCTGCTTGCGTTCCCTCTCTCGCTGTCTCTCTCTGTCAAAAAAATAAATAAAATCTTTTAAAAAAACCAAACAAACAAGAAAACCCAGGCTCAGGCTCAGGAGATCTTTCTCCGTGAAAGGCAGAGGCAGAGGCAGAAGCAGGACCCAGGTCTGCCTGACTCCAGACCCTGGGCACTCTGCCTTCCTGAGAGCATCCCTCCCGGAGAGCCCCTCCTTAGTCCTGGTCTCCAGGGCAGCCCCACTCACAAGAATCCAGGCTCTGGCAGGCTGCTTCAGCTTAGAACATGAATCCAGACATCCCGAGAGGAACAAGCCATCTACTGCTGGAGTTCACACGGGAGACCCCACAGACCCGCAGCTGGACAGAAGCATCCCACTGGCCCAGCGAAGCCCTTACTCTGCCCTGAGCCTGAGCAGGGCATGTAGCAAGCTTGCTGGGCTGCTGATGAGCCGATGCAGGTTCAAACCCTTGGCCTGGTCTTTGGTGGCACCGCTGGGCTCCAAGTCACAGGCTCACCTCCACTGCCCCTCCTCCCATGAATCCCGACTGTCCTCACTCCCCCGTTTAGCTCAGCTCTGCCCGCCCCCTCTAGGAAGCCTGCTCTCTGGGCCCACTCCAAACAAATTTCCTTCCCCCTAAAAGCGCTACAGCTGCTCCCTGCGATCATGCTAACCTCTGGGCAAAGGCAGGCTTCCATCAAGAGGCAATGAGAACATTTCCAAAGCCCGGACACCCAGATCAGAGAGCTCACTTGGCACTTGGCCCCTGGGTGCCCCCATCACTGGTGCCTTTGAATTCTAGGAGCCTGGGGAGCCTCCTGCAAGTCATTTCACTCTTATCCCTCCATAGGTGACAAGAAAAAGGGGTGACTATCATCACTTCACCAACAGGGAAATCGAGAGGAAACTTCTGGCCTTGCATTCATCTTGCTAGTTCATCCAGCTTCTACTCATGTCCCAGCCATCCATGGTGGGATGTTTCCTGCTGAACCCCACTCCCATCTCGCCAGTGGCCCTCGTAACAGCACAGCAGTAACCCCCCAGTGAGGAGGAAGTCCCTGTTCCAAAACCCTGGATCACTGGGCAGGGTTCACAGGCCTACTGTCTTCAGCCCCTCCAACAACCCAGGACATCAGCCAGCAGGTCTGAGGAGCTCTGGCCTTCACCCATGTGCCCAGTGCTCCCAACATCCACTCCCCAGCTCCCCTCCTTCCCACCTCCTACCCCCAGCCTCCCTCTCAGTGGAACTGGCCCCACCCCCAGCTCCATGGGTGGGCACTGATCGGCTTGAGTCAATCAACACTTCCCACCCACCCAATCTAGGCCAAGGGGAGAGAGGAAATCCCAAGCTTTGTGTGGGAACTACCACAGAGGAGACCCTCTCTTGCCCAGCATGGTGCGGCCTGAGGGTGTAAGGGCTGGGAAAGCTGCAGCCACTTTGCCGCCACATGGGCGAGTCTGGAACTGCCAGGGGCTTCTCTGGGTATGTGCTGACACTGCAGAAGGCAGAACCGAGAGACAAAGAGAAACCGGGTCCTCTTGAAGCGGGACTCTTTCAACGCTGCAAGCCAACCGATCCCTTTAATCGTGTAAAGAGGTCTTCTCAGCCATAACCCCCGAACAGACCCCTCCCAGCGGTCAGGGCCCCAGAGTGCTCACCAGGTTGACAAAATCCTGGTAGCAGATCTGCCCGTCTGCGTGGCTGTCGGCGAGAGCCAGGAGCACCTCCCTTTTGTGCGGGTCCAGCTTGGAGCCGTGGCTCTCCAGGAGGCTCCGGAACTTGCCTGTGCTGATGTAGCCTGTGTTCCCAGGGTCAAACTGAGGGGGAAGCACAGACAGCAGGGGGGTCAGTGGGGCCCTGCAGGTGCCCGTCTCCATCACCACTCACCAGCTCCCGTCCCCAGCCCCTCTGCCAACAGAGGCCCAGGACTCATCTGGGATGTGTCCAAGGCCCCCATGGGAGACCTCCAATTAGGGCACGGACAACCACTTAAAGACCTAGAAGGCCCTGGAGCCCTTTGAGACCGCCCAATCCAACCATCTTGTGCATGGGTAGGGAAACTGAGGCTCAGAGAGGTTAAGCCCCCTCCTATCCGCCCCTAATCCTAACCTTGGACATGAGGAAGAGCAGGAAGGAAAAGGCAACGAGGGGAGGAAGATGAGGAACTTCCGGGACTCGGGCCAGAGGGACTCCAGTGGGGACGCTGAGGGCCAGGGGCCGCAGGGAGCGGGGGCCCAGCCTTGCAAATCCGGCCGCACCTGGCTGCCGGCGCCTCTCACACCCACACTCACATACACCCACAGCCATGCACACGGGCCTGGGTGGGGCTCCCTGGAGATACTGTGCAGCTTTGCACGCCTGCGTCCCTCGGCCTGGGGGCCCCCTGCCCCCTCGTCTCCCAGGGAGACTCCGACTCACCCCACCCAGCGACTCTGTGCAGTCTCGGGACTCCCCGGAACACAGGTTGCTCGGGCTGCCCCCCACCCCGTCCCCTGCACATCGCACAGACCTCTGGCCACCAGCCTGCCCGGCCCCCTCATCTCCTATCTGGGCCCCCTCACTGGGCTGGTGGCACGGGGGTACCCCAGAATTTAGCAGGAGCCTGGCATGACTGGCAGGCACTCGGTAAACATTTCCCGGGCAGATACATAGCGGGTGTTGGATGAACAGAAGGGTACTAATCTTCCAGGGAAAGTATCATCGGTTCAGGTAGAAAAGGATCTCATTCATCTCTCCCAGAGAAGCCCCCCAGCCTTTCCGTGCCTCTTCTGCAGGCCCCCCTTCCTCACAGAGCGCCCCCCAGCACACGCCCTGCTAGAGAACGACGGGGACTGTCTCTCGCAGATGTCAGCAGCTGTTCTGTCCACCAAGAGCCTCCCCACACGATGTTGCTGTGCCTCCAGACGTTGCAGTGGGCGGCTGAGATTTCAGGAGGCAAACAGACACTGTGGATGTCCTTGTATGCAGGACAGGGGAGCCCAGACGACCAAGCCCACGTTTCCCCCCTTTTCTAGAGAAGGTCAATGGAGACTATTTTGGGAAGGCTGATTCGGTGTGCAGTACCTCTAAGACAACCCAAGAGTCACAAGTCTTGGGCTATTTAAATTCTTCCCAGAACTCAACGAGGGAAAACATCCCTAAAGAGGCTTATTTAAAAATCGGCATGAAGACATCCCTAAAGAGGCTTATTTAGAAATCGGCATGTGTCCCCACCCTCCATTCCAAATACCAGGTTCCAGGGATGACACCCATTTGGTTCGCACCACTGAGTATTTCAGGAAACGCAGTGACTCCCTGCACCATAAAGATCTTTAAGAATAAAAATTTGCTGGGCGCCTGGGTGGCTCAGTTGGTTAAGCGACTGCCTTCGGCTCAGGTCATGATCCTGGAGTCCCTGGATTGAGTTCCGCGTCGGGCTCCCTGCTCAGCGGGGAGTCTGCTTCTCCCTCTGACCCTCTTCCCTCTCGTGCTTTCTCTCTCTCATTCTCTCTCTCTCTCTCTCTCTCAAATAAATAAATAAAATCTTTAAAAAATAAAAAATAAAAATTTGCTTTAAAAAATTTAAAAAAAAGAAAAAGAAAGGGGATGCCTGGGTGGCTCAGTTGTTAAGCGACTGCCTTCGGCTCAGGTCATGGTCCCGGGGTCCTGGGATCGAGCCCCGCATCGGGCTCCCTGCTCAGCACGAAGCCTGCTTCTCCCTCTCCCACTCCCCCTGCTTCTGTTCCCTCTCTCACGGTGTCTCTATCAAATAAATAAATTTAAAAAATCAAAAAAAGAAAAATTTGCTGTTTTCATGGGGCCAAACACTTTTCTAAGCGCTTTATGTCTGTGATTTCTCTGAACCCCGACAACAACTTCCTGAAGCAGGTCTTATTTAACTAGTCCCATATTACAGATGAGGCAATCGAGGCACAGGGAAAGGAGCACTGAGAGGCAGGGGACATGCCTGGCAAACAGCATTCTGCACCCCGGCGGCTGAGCACTGGTGGCCACTGACCTTCAGCCTCCAGGGGCTGCTCTGGGGCAAAAGTGAAGCATCAAAGAGGTGAGAGGAGGGAGAGGGGGGCTCAGGGGCTTATCCCACACAGATTTTGAAAGCGGGAAAGAGCCGCACACAGCCACAGTTCCGACCCCCCGCTGCTTAGATAGGAAAGTGAGGCCTGGATGGGAAAGTAGCAATGACAGCCAGTGAGGGTCTCCTGGTACCTGGGACCCCCCCCTTGCATCCCCACAGGCTGACACAGGCCCCCTGACTCACCGGCCTGGCCTCACGTGACCCCTTGTGCTGGGTGGGCTGAGGGTGGGGGTGAGGGGTGGAGATGGAGAAGCAGCCCCGAGTCCTGGGAAAACCCACTTTCCCCCCAGTGCCACCCCCCCATGAGCACTGCAGGGGGGCAGTGACATGCCCGAAGCGCGGAGTCTCTCCTGACCGGGTCTGGGGGAGGAAGCCCAGTGGCCTCTCATTCAAGAGCAGGGACACCAATCCCCTCCCAGGGGCCGCCTCGGAGGCTTGGGAGGGCAGCGGGATGGGGGACTGGGATCAGGCAAGGGCCCCTCTCCCTTGTTCCAGCTCCAGACAAAGAACCACCTGCTCCCCAGCTCTCCCTCCACCCCCCCCCCAGGGCTCCCTGCTGTTGTCCTAGTGACAGGGGCTGCCCTGTGGCTCCAGGAGCCCCCCACCCCCCTGCCAGTCCTGCCCCCGGCACATTACAGGCTCCAGACTATGGAGAATGAGCTGGGAACAGGCCAAGTCTCCCTTCCCTGCCAAAACTCTACCTTTCGTGCCAGGGCCAGACAAGCCAGACAATGGGGGGTCATCGCTACCTAATAATGAGGCCTCAGGGATGACGGAGGGTGCGTAGCGGGGAGAGAGAGGCAGGGAAGGGGCTGGCTCCTCACAGGACCCCTTCTACACCCCCCGGGGCCCCCACCACCTGGGAGGATGAGGGCCGGAGCAGAGGCGGACTGTGGGCATGGGGCACGGGGGGGGGGGGGGAGGAGAAGAGGGAGACAAAGGGAGAAAGAATCAGAGAGAGAGGACGCGAGCAGAAGGTGGACAGCGGTCGGTCCCTTGCCCCAGAAGAAAACTGAGGGCTTCAAAAGGAGGCTGCATGGAGCAAGGCAAAATCCCATTCTTGTTTCAGCCACTAACGAGTTTGTATAATTCAGAGTAAACATCTCAAGCCATAATTGCCTCATCTATCAAGCGTGCCTTGTGTCCCCTCAGGTTGCAGTGGGTTAGAGCAAACGCAGGGCAGCAGGGCCAGGGCGGAGACTCAGTGTCCAGCTCTTCTTGCCTCATTCAAAGCAAAGCAGGGAGCAACCCTGTCACAGGGGCTTGGCTAGCCCTTTGGGCACACTTCCTGCCTTTGGGACTCCTTCGAGGCCAGGTATGGGGGATAAGACCCGTGGTTTGGAGCTTTTGGGAAAAGAAACCCCTACAAATGCAATTTTCCTCATTAATAATGTGCTGAAGGCCCCAAAGCTCCCCCCAAAGCCCGGGATTCATCCAGTTTTAGCAGTGGGTCGCTCTCGGGATGAGGTCTGGGCTGGGCGGGTTCCAGGCAGCCTGACGAAGGCTGGGGTGTGTGTGTGTTGGGAGGGGGAGTTGGGGGCAGTGGGCTGTGAAAGGGCCACAGGCAGGGGCCCAGCAGGGAGCCAGGAGTCAGGAGCATCCTCGCAGCTGCCTCCTGACTACGGCCCAGCACTGTGGAGGGAGGGGGAAGGCCAAGCCCACATTCAGCCTGGAGCGGAGGATGCTGGCCTCAGGGGGAGGAGAAAGACGGCAGGGTGAGGGCTGACCCTCCCTCGGCTCCCGCCCACCTGCCTCCGCCATGAAAAGAGCTGCCAGAGGCTCCCAAGGGACGTTTAATCCCAGCACCATCCAGCCCTCTGGCCCCTTAATCCTCCAGGTCGCCAGTTTTCCCCAGCCTGGGGCCCCACAAACGCCCTGTCACAGACCACATCTCCCGGCCTGGACCGCTTCCTGGTGCACTCGTGACCTAGACTGGGGAAAGAAGCCGCCACATTCGGCACTGCTACCACCTAGGGATGCTTCCCTTCTTTGGGGCAAGGAGCAGGGGGAGGGTTTCAGAAGGGACCCTGCCCCCAGCTGCTGTGCCGTCTTGGGCAGATCATGAACCACGCTGCCTCAGCTTCTCTTCCAATCATATGGTAGGAACTCTCCCTTCTCAGGGGGATGTAAGGGTGTCCATCCCCATCCCTGCACACACAAGCACACCACATGCAAATGGGGTTTGGGGAAAGAAATCCACAACCGAGGGGCGCCGGGGTGGCTCAGTCGGTTAAGTATCTGCCTTCGGCTTGGGTCATGGTCCCGGGGTCCTGGGATCCAGCCCCGCATCGGGCTCCCTGCTCGGTGGGGAGCCTGCTTCTCCCTCTCCCACTCCCCCTGCTTGTGTTCCTGCTCTTGCTGTCTTTCTCTCTGTCAAATAAATAAAATCTTTAAAAAATATTTTTTATTTATTTATTTGAGAGAGAGGGAACAGAAGCAGGGGGAGAGGGAGAGGGAGAAGCAGGCTCCCCGCCGAGCAGGGAGCCCGATGCGGGGCTCGATCCCAGGACCCCGGGACCATGACCCGAGCCGAAGGCAGATGCTTAATGACGAAGCCACCCAGGTGCCCCAATAAATAAAATATTTTTTAAAAAGAAATCCACAACCCATACAGCCCATGGGGGCAGCCAATCTTCTCTCCTTGGTCAGTCAGAGGGCTGATGGGACATTTGGAGTCAGGATGAGGCAACTCGCATTGGGGGCGTGCTGTCAGAGGGATCCGGTGTCAGTGGCGAGAGGGGC